CAGCTTGTTGAAGTTTTAATAAAAATTGGGTCAACTATTTAAATTTAAAAATAATGCCACCAGCATAAATGTGTCATACATTTTTTTTTCTCACCGTTTCGTTCATTTCTCTTCCTGTTTTGTTTCCTTTGTACTCTGGCTCTACCCCGTTAGCGGACTTGCGTGTCTCTCTGTGTGTGTGTGCATGTATTTGATGACATATTTCAATTTTTTTTTTTATTTTTATTTTTATTTTTTTTATATATATATATCTCTTTATTTTTCTATTATATTTTATGCTTTTCTTATTTGAACAGATAGATATGCATGGGCACAGGTCTCTATAAACTTTTTTGGTTTTCTTTTGTTCGTTTTCTTTGTACTCTTGTTTATTTATTTATTCATTTTTTTTTTTGTTTTTTTTGTTTTTTTGTTTTTTAATTCTTTCTTCACTATGCAATGGTTAACCAAGCATAATTATCTTTTTAACTTTGGTATAAACATAAAAGACAGTTGCTGCAATACAGCGATGCTTATATTGTATAGTTTACATTGATATATGCAAAGGCTGACATATTCGGGTAAAATTATTAGTGCACATAATGCTGAAAAACGACAGGGAACAAGAAAAAAGTCCTTCACTGCAAGTCACTGCATAAAAATTGCAAAGCATTATGTTATTTGCAAGCCGGTCGCAACTATTTATGTACACATTATTGATGCGACAACACATCGCATTTTAAAATTTAGGAACATCTCGAGCCCATATCACCAAAAAAGTAACAAATTCAAAAGTAAACAAATAAATGAAATTTTTTTTTTTTTTAAAGCAACAAATCACATGATACTTGGCTTCACTTCTTATAACTTACGCCATTTTTTGTAGGGTGTATATGAAAAATTTTTGAAAATGTATATACATCAGCAGCCTGAGTGATTTGAGATAGATTCATCTTTTAATATAACTTCTGAAAAGATCTAAGCTTGTTTGTCCATCTGTCCGTCTCTTTGTCTTGTATTTTTGCGGGCAATTTTTGTTCTTTCATTTCATTTCTTCATTTCTTATTCGGTGACAATAAAACCTTATGGCGATTACCTAGTTACATAAATACATTTCATGTTGAAAAAGAAATTATAATTCAAGCTAATAACCAATTCAACAAGATGGCTGGAAATGTAATCATTTTGCTCCATAAACTCCGCGATCCTACCAATTCCTACCAGGATCGAGATATAAATCATAAGCTTAGAAGTGCAATGAATGTTTTTTTAAAGATATTCAAGGGATCTTCGAAGGATATCAGCGCTCGGTGCTAACGCATTCGAATATCAGCGTAATACAGAGAGTAAAAAGTCTAGTCGATCTATGGAATTGCAGTCGTTCTCTTAAAACGCTTGGTTATCGAAATTGAATGACTTTGTAATGGTGATAGTCCGGGCTTGTATTTCAGCTAATCGGGATAAGAGAGTTTTACAGAGTTTGTGACATTAAAAACAAAGTAAAAAGTTTTTGGAGTTGGTCCAAACTCTTCCAAGGACACACCTATAAAACACTCGCCAGCCTAAGCGAGCAAAACTTTTAGTTTCAAAATAGAAAAATATTACCCGCGCCCACTCCACATTGCAGAGCATGAAAATTTAGTTCTTTTATTTTGTTTACCTTGTTTAGGCCAACGTTGATGGATATAAAAGGTCGCGACTGAATATAATTTTCTCACTTGTATTTTTTAATTTGCTAATAGTTTATGATCTGACGTCATTGCGCACACACAATGGACACATAAAATATTCTAAATTTTGGAATAATTGCGTAATTTTTTGTGCGTAACCATAGGCGCGTGCCCCAGTTTTGTTGAATCCTTTCATATATTGACATATATTTTTTATTTACTTTAACCCTCCGCACACCTAGTTTGTTTTGTTTACCTTGCCGCTAATCGTAATTTTTTAAAATTTCATAATGTTTAGTATTTAAAACTACAGAGGAAGAAGAAGGAAAACACATTAAATAATATGAAGGAATAGAATGTCGAGCCTTACTGGATATAGAAGTTGATGTAAGATAAGATGATAGGAGAAAATGTAAGTGGAAAGGGTTAAGGCAAAGTCGCTCACTTCCAAATCTATTAGATATGATACTAACTCTTATAACGATGCTTTATAAAAGCTAGCGCTGGCTCGTTCGAAGCTGCTCTCCTTCTTGCATATCTGCATTGCTTAGGTTCGAAATTGAAAATTGAATTTATTATAATCATTTCGTTTAAACGAAGCAAAGATCAATTGTTTATTCTGTTCATTTTTTTTTTTTTTTTTTTTTTTTTAGTTATAAATCTAGAATCTGTCAATGCCTGGTACTTTTTAATGTGTTTTAAACATTACAATAACAAAACGTAAATACATTTAATTGTATATATATTTTTTCCTTTCAATAATAATAAATTTAAATAAATTAACATAACATAACATAAATAATTACACGGCCTTCTGTTTGTTAAAATTCACCAAAACGAAAACCAGAGACCAGTGTAAATAATGAAAATACATAAATGAAATAAAAGAAAAATAAACCAATAAATTATTTCAAAAATGCTCTCATGTATGCAAATACACGTACAGAAAAACGTACAGGCAAAGCGAAGGAGAAGGACCAGGAAAAGTGTACGCTGAACGAACGAAACCTACTTTCATACATTTTGTCGCAACATCAAGCATTAGTTTGTAGATTAATAAGTAAAGTTACTTTTTTATAAGTCATATATTTTCTCGTTCCTTATATTTTTGTTGCTGCTCACCTTGACCTAAGTTGTGTTAAAAGACCGACATATATACACTCTCATGTGTATTATATTGTATCAAAAAAAAAAATAAATAAATAAAAAAAAAATAAAAATAAAATAAAATAAAAAAATAATACAAGCTTACATAATTCTCTGACTAACTGACGTTCGGTGTCTGAGTTTCGACAGCTGCTGAAGCCACCTTGTCTATAATAATCTACAATATACCAGTAACGTAACACAAATTGCAATTAACGTTAAGTACCACAGCAATGCTGGGAATTTATAAACACGTCCATTCACACACACACACACAGGCAGACAAATATTACGAAACATGTGTGTTAAATGTAAACAAAAATTGCAGTAAAAAGAAGAGGAAGAAACACGAAAAGTAAACAATCAAGAAAACCGTATTCCCGTTAGATCGAATTTTAGACACCCGCCAGCCACGCCACCATTCGAAGGAAAAAATTATGAAAAATTTCCTTATCATAATCAGTTTTCTATTGTTGACAAGGATTTCGTTATCACTAAATCTTTCTTTTCTTTCCATTGATGAAACGTGTCGTTCCCTAAACCGTAGGAAACACATATATGTGTTACACATATATATGAAATTAATAAACTGTAGTTCGTAAAATATTTTCAAAACAATAGAATCCTTCCATTGAATTTTCGAAGTCATTCTGGAGTACCACATATTTAGAGATAAGTTTTTACCTCAATTTTAGCAATCAAAGGACCTATACACAATTATCTTAGCTGAGAATCTTGTAATCGATGGAATAATGATTACGGTAGACGGATAGACGGATCTAAAACAAATCAAAATCTTATGCTAGGAACTGCAGCAACAGACATGTACACCAGAGATGTATATTATGACATTAGTTGGTATCACGTCGGAGGAAGTATGCCGATCGGACAAAGCTTCATCAAATTTGACGATAATTCAGCTTTGCTAGCGGACAAATAGTCATATGTCAAGCGGACGAGAGAAACGAAATTAAATATAGATTTAATGTTAGAAAATTGAACGAGGGACCAGCCTACGATCAGATGAACAATGAAAGCTACTCTTAACAGCTCTACACGACCGGCTAAACAGGTGAACATTTGATTATTTTAGGTGAGCACTGCGTTTAAAAATCTCGGTAAACGGGTAGTTAAATGTCGATGCATGGCTAAAGGAATTAATCGTAAAAACTGAAGCGACATGCAAATATGGACACAAAAGCCGCATCTTAATGAAGGGTAGATAATTAACACTCCAAGTATAGCCTGATCTTATCAATTCGATATATAGAATACAAATAAAACCGGAAAAGTAAGATAGGCAAAGATGGGAAGACTAAGCGAATGAAAAAGAACAAGTGAAAACTAAAAAGGAATAGGAAAGAGAAAGTGAGAGAGAGAGAGATAGAGAGAGAGCAAAAAAGAAAAAGTAATAATCCGAGGATCTACTTATTGGTTTAAGATGGAATTTTAACAACCAAACCGAATCGTCTTTGTCTCTCTTCGATCACTGCTCGTAGTGGATGCCCTTAAATGCTATTGAAATCTATGCCGATAAATTCATTTACTTTAATGATTGAATGACAACTCGGAGAGTTAAAAGCGCCCGATTTAATGGTTCATTGTCATTGCAAATAAATTAATTGTACTGTAGACCCGACCCTTGCGTTGCTGCTCCTATCTGTTATACAATTTAATTAACTTTTGATGGTAAAATCCGACGAAGACGATGGACTTAAAAATATCTATAGTTTCCTTTGTGCGTGAGTTACGAACTCTTTGCCGAAAGTATTATGTTTTCTATAAGCATGAACATGTAAACGAGTCATAATTTTTAATAAAACGCGTAACACAATACTGGCGGTTATTCTCATTGTTGTTGTTGTTGTTGTTTTTGTTTTTGTTGGCGCTGAAGAGGTTGCTGTTCGCGGCATCATAAGCATTCAAGCATAAATGTTAACAATGCGCAGATGTGTGAACACATAAAAAACAAGTGTTTTATTTATTATTAACTTTTATTTAAATATGTGTGACTGCGTATAAACGCGACCGAAATAAGTAAAAGAAAAAAGAAAAAATTAACTATTTATTTATGTATATGTTTTTTTTTTTTTTTTTTTTTTGTTTTGTTTTGTTTTGCTTTGTTCGCTCGATGACAGTTTTTATATAATGAGATTTTCGTATATATTTATTTAAATTAACGGTTGTTCTTTTCTATTATTGCAGGTGCGTGCAGTGGACACTTATGGCTTAAGTGTGAGTTTTTGCATATACGTATCAAGAATATTGGTGATTAATTTTTATGAAAGTGAAATTTTATTTTCATTTTGCTCGTTCGTTCGTTCGTTCGTTCGTTCGTGCGTATACCACAAAAACAATTTTAAATTATTTAAGAATTTGCAATAACTTTGACAATATCGCTCACTAATTTAATTACAGGCGAGCAATATTCCGCGATCTTTTCCATTAAAATCTCAAAACTGTATTCTTGTATGCTTTGAATTTCTCACTGTTTTACTGAACAGCGAAATTGATGGAAATTTTCCCGCCAAATCTATTTTCCATGATTTATAAGATCCGTTGATCCTTTTAGAAAACGTGTAAAAAAGTTCATTACGTGCAAGAAAATTTTTTCCCTTCAAAATTCGATCATCTCATCGAGAGCTCCGCAAAGATCATCTACGTCAAATGGATCCCTACCGGAAAATTCTACCTTAATGTCTTACCTGTTGATTTTTAGCTTCTCTAACAGATTGCCGAACATGCTTTTGCTCATTTAAAAGCATTTCGAAGCAAAAATATATTGCTGTAATGGCATCAAGACGGCCACTAATTAGTGCTCCTGCTAAGAAATATTTTGCTGAAGAAAAATATGGGGATGAAGTTTCCAATGATAGTTGTGAATACGGGTCTTCTGCGTCATTTCGCCACAAGTAAAATTGCGATACTAAGGGGGCTGAAGCACAGGTATACTAAAAGGAGCTGAAATTTTGAACAGGGAAGCAGACTTTTTATGGCCCCGGTATTGCAAGACTCGTGCAAAAAAAAATGTTCAAAAAATGTGATAAAATAGCAAAATATATATCTAGAATACGTTTCAAAGCATCAAGGGCCTTTCTCTCGACCATGGTTTTTCGAAACTATAGTCACCATATTTCAAATTATTTCCTTCTTTGTATTCAAACTGTGCTTACAATTGTGCCTGAAAATGATATTTTCTAGAGAGTTATTGTAAGGGGAACGCCTTTCGTTTTTTAAAAAAAGATTGAAAAGCTCGTATCGTTGTATCCATGTACCCATTAATAAGTTCCACATATTTTTCTTGCTTGATGACTTCTTTCGCATACAAATTGCGGCCACGTGCGTTAAAGTTTAGCGAGACGAAACATTTGATAATAAATTATCCATCACAATTTAAAGACAAATCGTATCAATTTGGCCGCACTTACCCACGCACACTTACGATCCACAATCAAAAATGTGGAAATATTAAAAAAAAAAGAAAAGAAAAAGAAATGGCACCTGATGCAAGCCTTACGAAAATGTACACAGTGTTGACGCTTTCGGATATTTTTCAGGAATAATTTTGTTTCCTTTACATTTCAATGACATTCTCGAATATTAATTTTTTTATTACATTTCTGTCTTACAGTGATTTCTCCCGCCATTGTCCTTAATATTGTCATTGTCTCATAAATATGTAGATTTGTATGAAACATATATGTATATATGTACATATAGATAGCTTGTTTCACTCGTCAGGACAAGTCATCTCAATTCAATGTTTCTAGTGTTTCGCTAAAATGTTTCGCGACAAACGAGTCAGCGCAGTTGTGTTACAAAATCACCTTATTTAGCGCCTGGCATGTAGTTGTCGTTTTTGCTTCAACGCTCGCCTCAGTTCTGGCAGCTATTGTTCATTACGGTTTCTTAGTCATAATTTCATTGTTTTTCATAAGCACTTAGTACAATAAATCTTGAATCATTTCAATATCCTTTAAATATTTAGAACAAATTGTTTCCCAAGTTTTCAATCATTTTTCAAATCCTAACTACGTTTGACCTTTGACTCTTTATCTTTGAGTTTCTTCATGCGTTTACCTCCATACTATCGAATTATTGTATTAAGCGAATTGACGTAAGATCCGAAGAATGCTCACTATAGTGTTTTCACTTGTTTAAATGTTAATAATGAACTCTTAGGGGAAATCAAAGAATTTGCTAAACATTTAACGAATATTGTTCGACTTCGTCTAATGACATTCTTCGTTGCTCAGGCAGCTTTATATCTTCATTTTTATTGAAATTTTACAATTTTTTGAGAAAGAGGGCCGCATAACTGCCAGTTTGACAATTTAAGCATGGACCTCTTTAATTCGCCAGTGAAAGGTTATTTGTTCTCAGAAAGTGTTGGCAACAGATTTATTCACTCAGATCTATTAAGTCATACGAAACTCCCGTAAATAATCGATATTAATTTTTTTGAGCAAAATTAAGGGTTTGTGACCAAAGCAGTGCTTATCCTGGCAGTGAAAATCTTTGTAACGAATTTGCGCAAATCGCTTTCACAATATATTATCACTTACGATATTCTATCCATGCATACCATAAATGTTTTCATCTTTAACTTTTGAAAAATAAAACGAAACATAAACGATACACAAATTCATGTATACGTCAGTTATCTCGATGCGGAATTTTTCTTTTTTTTAAATATCTGCATATATTTTATAATTTTCACTTAATGCTCGACACTTCATACACTTGATATATGCGGACTCTTATGCAATATTTGTTCAAGAATAATACGTAAATTGAATCGCAAATCTTGGAATCGTGAAATGAAACAACTAAGCATATTATTGTCGGGCAAGATCGACTATAAGATACCCTACCCCACTTCGCCTTATGCATTTAATCACTCGTTCTTGTTACATTGTACACCAAAAGTAAAGTTGAACATTATTTCCATGCAACGGCACACTTTTCATGAAAGCTCGAAATATCCGAGAAATAGAGCTACGTGATCCATGTTCGGTAAGGTGGATTTCTATGTTAATTTGCTCTTATAAAATAATTTCCAGCATGACACATTGAAATTTATACCATTTTACGGCTACATGAGAGAGGGTCCCAGCGGAACGAAATTTTTCATACCAACTAAGATTGACGAAATACTATAACACAGCGAGTTTGGTCCAAAAATTTTGCCAATTGCAATTTTTTTGCATGCAACGACTTTTTAAAATAATACGTTGTATGGGGAATGATCGAAAATGTGTATCCAAACCATTTTCAATAGCGTCAAAGCACATTTCTGTACCGAATTTCAGCAAAATATCTGCAAAAATTGCAACCTAAACATAAATTTATATAGAAAGGTATCAAACGGACAAACGGACCGACAGACTTAGATTGATTCAGAAAATGATTCTAAATCTATCGGTATAATAAAAGGTGGGTCCATCTAAAACCGTTTTGCATGTTACATACGTCGGCACAAATATAACGAGTTCATTCAAAATCGGTCCTGAGGTGCGTCTATCTTCTTCATTTGTTATCTACAATTTTGAAAATAATTTTTTTTTTTGCTTTACATTTTACCCGTTTAATATTCTCTTTCCTCTTCGATATAATTACTGAACTCTCTCTCTCTCTCTCTCTCTCTCTCTCTCTCTCTCTCTCGCTATCTCTCTCCTTCTCTTATTATAATTTGATGCTAAAATCTATTTAAATTTATGTAGACGCAGGTGTAATCAACAGATTATGTATCATTTTAGAGTTGGCAACTCGTACATATATAGTTAGTTATCTAGAGATTTCATCACATGAAAATTAGCCACGCTTGCACCATATGAGCTCTTAGTTACTGATTTTGCATATTTGCATATCTTTAATATAGATTTTTTATATGCCACTATAGCATGAACTAATACGTTTAATACATTGAATATATAAATAACGCACAAACCATCCATTATATATAATGTGTATATTATATATATATATATGTGTGTGTATGTATGAAAAGAAATATATATACATTGTGTATATAATGTATATATATATATATGTTTGCTTAAATATATACAGATATTTGTGTGCTTAAAAAGAAGAAGTTGCAAGATATTCATCATCAATTTACCAAAGCATCCCAATCAGAATTATTTAAAATTTATTATTTATTCAAGCAGACACTCACAATATTCAGAAGTTAGAGCATCCACTGTACACACAACTTAATATTATTATTATTTATATATTTCGTTTATATTTATGTACCCTTATTATGTAAAAGTGTTTACATGGATGTCGCATAGACATGAAAATATTTAAAATTTGCATATGTATGAACTGTTTGTATGACAATAGCAATAATAAGAAGAAAACATGTATCGTGATGGCATTTAAAGCCCGAGATTTAACTTTCCTTCTACATTTTGCACATTTCATTCGCCTATTCACCCATTCACCCATTCACCCATACACCGATTCAACCGTTCATTCGTTCATTCGTTCATTCGTTCGTTCGTTCGTTCGTTCGTTCATTCATTCATTTACTGATTTATTCAGTCAATCTGCACAACATATGGATGGATGGATAAGTATACGAATTGTCTGCATCGTGTAATCGTATGTATATGCGACAAGTTTATTACAATATTTTATATGCGCATATGTGGCCCCTTGCTATACACGATTCATTATTTTAATCCAGAAGCAACAAAAGTAAGAATTGAAATTGCAACAATATTTGACATTTCATATTATATCGAAATAATAACATTTACCAAGTAAACAAACAAAACATGTTCGACATGCAAAGGATATTTTCATATGCAATTCCCTCTCACAACAACAATAACAACAACAATAATAATAATAACAATAATAATAGTAATAATAAGACTAATGATCAAAGTTGTAATAATATCCACTGACATATTATATATATATATATATATATATATATATATATAGTATATATATATATGTGTGTATGTGTGTGTGTGTGTGTATTAGGAATACGCACAAATGTGTGCGCGTGTGTGCAGACATATATAAATTCTAGTCTAGTAATATACAAGTATCCTCTATGCCCATGAATAAAATGAATGAATTTTTCATATACATGCGAGTATTTGGTTGAGTTACTGTTGAATACAAAGTTAGAATATTAAAATTGAAATATTGCCCAGCGCTTGCGTTATTTTTGTTTTTCTTTTTTTGTTTTCCGAATCCTTCATTAAAAGTGT